ATAACTCTCACAATTTGCTACAATAGATGCTTTTCCAATTTTCTCAAAAAAATCGTTGAAAAATGTTCAAATAAATAGCGATAATTTTATCACTGTTTCAATTAAATAAACGTTCTCCCCAAACCAAGTCGTCATAATCGAGCACCATTTGGTTGCGCATCGTTTTGCTTGAACCTGTAAATTATATAAGGGCTCTGCTGTCATTCTTCCGCTCACCAAAGTGATTCCAATACACAAGCCTAGCAAAGATCCTACCAGTGCCAAAAGCTATCACCCCATTAGCCTCTTGTCCTCCATATCGAAGCTATTCGAAAAGTTGATACTCAGCCGTCTGCTGGTGTTTTCAAATGATAATAACATCTTTCTCGAAGAGCAATTCGGGTTTAGGAAAGGCCACTCTACCATCCACCAACTCGCACGGGCTACTAAGATCATCAAGCGGAACAAGTCCATTTCCAAGACATCTACCATGGCATTGTTGGACGTTGAGAAGGTGTTCGACAATGTCTGGTATGATGACCTTGTTTACAAGCTGCATTGATACAGCTTCCCGATCTTCCTTGTTAAGATCATCAAAAACTACTTGTCGGGCAGATTATTCCAGGTCTACTTGAACAATGTCCTCTCTGATACGTTCAACGTTGATGCAGGGGTCTCTCAGGGTAGCTTGCTTGGGCCTATCCTATTCAACATTTTCACGTCAGATGTTCCTCCCCTGCCGGTTGGTGGTATCCTGTCAATGTTCGTAGATGACACCTCCATCATCTATACGAGTCGAGTGATCCGTGCTCTGGCGAGTAAACTACAATCAGGTCTGGATGTTCTGTTCGACTTTTTAAAAAGCTGGAAGATTTGTATCAATGCAGCTAAAACACAAACCATTCTGTTTCCACACTCGAATTCACCTCGGATTGTTCCACCTGCTACCGTCAAGGTCCATGTTGATAGCACTCCCATTGAATGGTCGAGTGAACTAGTCTACTTTGATCTCACCCTCGATAGCAAATTGCTATTCCGATCCCATGTGGACAAGACATCCACCAAGTGTAACATCTTGATCAGGTCGCTCTACCCTCAAAAACAAGCTTGTTGTCCACAAGCAGATCATTCTGCCGGCTATTGAGTATGGAGTGCCAATCTGGGAGAGTTCTGCTAAGTGCCACCACCTAAAGTTTCAGAAGATCCTTAACAGTCCACCGCGAGCTCGTAATTCTGAGATTCACCACCTGGCCGGTCTTCAAACACTCGAGGAGCGAAAGACGTCCACGCTGGAAAGGTTCAGAGTCGCCAGTCTGCGATCAAACCACAAAGATCATTCGTGATTTGGTAGGTTTCTGTGCTCAAGTAGGTAGTTTATCAATTTTTTAAATTCAAACCAAAACAATCCCATAAAGGGTATCCTGTAAATTAGCGCTAAACGCAATCATCACATTAGAATAACCAATTAACTAGAACAAAGGTGAAGAGCCAAAGGCTAACCAATTGAAATGTTAAACCAAATGTTGAAACACAGAAAATAAACGTAAATTTTACTATTACTTCCTCCGCTCATTAAAGCTTCGGACGGCGTGGCAAGCAGAAGCAGGAGCAAATCAGGAAAAGGTGAAAATCCCGTCAGGGGCGAGGCTTAGAAAGTAGTTTTTGTGCAGAAAATATTAAAAGGAGAGACTTAGGATCTATTTTTTCTGCAGAACATATAAAAAGGAGGGATTTCGGATGTTGTATGCCTACAAATTACTGATGCATTACTGTAAGAACTGTCAAAATCCTATGAATTTACACGCTAGTGTTTGTGAGATTTTGCTTGGCGAACTGAATTTTGATGATTTTGGGTCATCCCTGTGTTGAAGTGGGATCCAGAGGGACGGTAAAAAATCATTCACAGCTTTAAGTAGAGCTTTACATTGTTGTTTGTTACATACACCAAGTGGATAAGCGAGTTTCTGGGTGGTGCTGTGTTTAGTTCGGCCCAACAAAAATTAAACCTCTGAAAATGGGTTGGAGAGTCTTTGTGTAAATCCAAGAATGGCAAAAAGTTAAGAGATATATTTCTGAATACTTGTAGTTCTAGTTCCTAATTATGTGCTCAAGAGGGGGATAAGTTCCTACGTTAAGCTATCCAATGATTTTTCGATTGCTTGAAGTATCAAATCATGATTAAACTCTGAATATCAAATTTTCGATTATGCTGATGGAAAGAAAGTGAGAGGGCAGTCCCAAGTAACCAACAAGTCTGCTTAGTAACAATGCGACTAATAATGCGTCAAAGCCCTGTATTAGTCGTATGTTAGCTTTAACAACAAAATCAATCCAAATTAGCGGGCTTATTGGTTACCTAGGTAACCATTTGGGTTTTTCGAGGGTACTGTAGACCATGATTTAGACTTGTAGAGTGCTTTAAAACCTCAATAAAACTTTCAATGTTACTTGTGCTGGGATGTGCAATACATGCTTGTGAACGATTTCGAACCAGAAGTATCCCACTGCGATCAAGCGTTTGGTTAAACTTGTTATCCATAACAAATGTTCAACGGAGATAGGGTACACACTTAGAAAAATTCATGTAAATTTAGGTGCTCTGAGAGTAAAATATACGAGCGTAAATTTTGACATAAATTTGAGTCATAACAGACGCGAAATATAGCTTAATCAAACGTACTTTTCGTCGAGCAACGAACTTTTCAGTCTCGGAGCACTTAATATTACATGAAATGTTTGTTTACGTCTCATCTTTTATGTCAAAGATGGATTCCGTCACGTGTAAAATTAATTATTTCTAAGTGTGTAGGGATTTAAAGTTTTTTTTTTTTTTTTTTCTTTATTAAAGAGATTTTTATCCATAGGCTAGTTCATCTCTTAGGGATTTAAAGTGTGCACGGGGAATATATTTTATAACAGAGGATTAAAGACAAGTGTTTTATTTGCGGAATATCCCTACCGAAAAGTCCAGAAACAGTCAGACAAATAACTAATAAGGGTGAGGAAATTAACATGTCAATAAGAGGAAATGGAGTAAATTGAGGAAATAAGTTACTTCTACTGTATTTTAAATCAATATCAAGAAAAATGCATGAGAAGTTCACTAAACATCTCAACGTAGTCTACGGCAACCATGCGGTCGTGTCTTGTACACAACCCCAACATTTTCTTTTTTTTTTTTTCAAAAATGTTGAGAGTTTCCAAAAGAGTTTGATTTCGACACATTATTTGCAAAGTTTTTGTTCGTCAGGGCAGAGAATCGCTTTTTAATTTGTTTTTGCAAATCCCGCCAGATAACCTTCATGGCAGGATCGCGTGTTCTTTGATATTGTCTCCTACGGACATTTTTAAGACTAATCAAGAGCTGAAGATCGTCGTCTATTATAATTGAATCGAATTTAACCTCGCATTTTGGTACTGAGGCAGCTCTTGCTTCAACTATAAAAGTAGTCAAGAGCATAATTAATTTCATCTTTGGTTTGCAAAGAAATGTTTGGATCAAAGCTCTATTCCATAAAAGATCAATATTGCTCCCTATCAGATCTATGGTAATTGAAGGTAGAGTTGTTGGGATTAGAAATTATTTCTTGGGATATATCAAAAGTTACCGGAAGATGATCAGAACCCAAAACAGCATGAGTAACCAATTGCCTACAAAGTTGACATGCATCAGTTAAGACCAAATCATTAGTGGAGGGATTTCTCGCAGAAGAAAAGCGTGTTGGGCTGTTTGGATATTGAATAGTGTAATAACCCGCAGAACAATCATCAAACTGAATATAACCATTGGAATTGCTTTGAGCATTATTCCATAAGCGGTGTTTTGCATTAAAATCACCAATAATGAAGAATTTAGACCTATGATGGGTAAGTTTCTCAAGGTCACCATTGAGAAAATTCTTTTGCTCGTCTCTGTATTAGAAAGACAAATAGAATCCCAAAGTTGTGTCATTCTTTAACTTGTTTAAATATACCTTAGCTAGCTGAAACTATCACAGGCTGCAAACATAATTACAGTCAATTTTAATGCATACATTCTGCGTGGGTGCTATGGGTAATTTGAATTTAATTTGAATTGAATTTAGATGTCTAATTAAATTCAAAATACCTATAGCAATGTCAACCAACACATCGCGATGCATCGGTTCACCGTTGAACAATATTATTCCAAATCAGATCTAATAGGCTCCATTCGAATGCACCGACTTTGTCATTGTTGGGTTGAAAATCAACCACCGCAACCACGTCAACAATTATCGTCACGGTTGAACCTACCCCGAACTCTATTTTAGTTTCGATTATAATTAACTTATTCTAAACTATGAACCTTCCCTATGAATCGATGCAAACACGCACCGCCTGATCACTTTATTAACTATGATGCCTGACCACAATCGACCGAAACCCATATCACCGCCCGCCAGTTGGTTGGTTAGTTTGCCGATGTCCGCAAACATCGTAATTACAACCCGAGCCAAAATTGCATATAATGATACCTTATCGCCTTGTTGGGATACGGTATTAATTATTGGTCCGAAGCGCTTCCCCCATTGCGTTCCAAGCCTGTCAGCTAGATTGGTTAGTTACGATTTCAAGGATGCGATTTTAACGGGCGAACATCGCCATCAACCCGACAAATGACCAAGGGTCAATGTCAAGTTCGTCATTAAAATGGGATCAATCCCTTTTGAGCTTTTATGCAATCGGCCTGGTACCGGGAATAGAAGGGCAGTTAGAACATATGAATCGAAGCGGTAACAGGCTTAATCCGACTCGCTTGCATAACCCAACTAGGTTTTCGTCGGTCAGATGAAAAAAATAAACCGTCCCCTCATCCGATTTGGAGTGAGACCAGTCCAGGTGCAACAGAGCTGTTACTTGTTTTTCTCCTCTCTTTAGGATTATGCGATAACTGGCTTCCAATGTCATGGTTATTAACAGGAGATTAGCTTTTCTCCGCCGCGGCGCTGTTGTAGTTAATGATTCATCGTCAATAATCCAATTTTTTTTTCCATTTCCAGAGGCCACAACATTACCTTCCTCAATGGTTTCCCGGCAGATTTCTCCTACAACGGTCTGCAGGAGGTCACCCCTTCCGGTCTGGTGGAGTTCATCCGAAACTATACCAACTGGGACCTGCTGGGTGCTCGGATGCGTGGAGATTTGCCACTTTCCATGTGGGACGTCTTCCGCTACTCGTGGCAGGTTGGTAAATCGGATTTCCCTTCTATGTGATTTAATTTCTGTGGCTTTTCTTTTGTTATCCCAAGGCCTGCGACGCCACGTTGGAAGACAAGGAAACCATGGACCTGCTGGGAAGGAAGTTTGATCTGCTCATTCTGGACGGTGCCTATCCGGAGTGTGCCCTGGGACTGGCCCATCGCTTGGGCGCTCCGTACATGTTTGTCAACACGGTTGGGTTCTACACCACAACGATGGCCCTGGCGGGGAATCCTTCGCCGTACTCCGTTACACCGGCTTTCTTTCGGCCGCTGACCGACGATATGGACTTCTTCGAGCGGATCATGAACAGCCTCTTCCATATGATGCTGCAGCCGGTTTATATGGTGAGTATTGTGACACTCTACACACATATTTCGTGCCAACTTTTTTCTTACTGTGCCTCACGTGTGTCGGCAAATCCGAAAGTGCCAGTCATCGGACTGAACCTGTTTGTTTGTGAAAAATGGGGATGTTTGGCAAACCGGTTAATTTAAAAATTCGAATGTTTTGTGGAAGACAACAAGCAGTAGAATCCGAACTGTGTCAAGACGATGATCCAGAAGCACCCCAGCTGGACAAGCCGATACTGTACAAACTAGCCCTCGATAAGGTGACCAAGTTGCTCCGACCGCTCGACATCGAAACGCATCTGATGGTTTACAAAACTTCTGCCTCTGGGAAAATCCGCCGTGGATGTTGCAATCATTGGAACGGGCTCACGATATCGATGCCGTTTGTGCGATTCGGTTGTACAACATTTTGTCAAGCAAGATTGTTGGCGATGAAATTGACGAAAGCGTGAAGCTGCCCAAGTAACAATTCAAGCTGAACATTAAGAACAGAAGCTGATTATTGGTTGATTTATGATGTACAAAGCTGATTAACATCAGGCTGAATATATAGTTGATTAGTAGTGCATGAAGTGAAATGTATCCCCATAATCCAACCTCAATAAGTTAGCTGATCTAAAGATTGAACAAGCCTTATTTAAGCTTAACACAACTCCACAAATCAGCAATGCCTTACACATATTTTGATAGCCGAAAAGGAATTTTTTAGGAATAGCTACAGGTAGATGTGGGCTGCGACGACGCCGGAAGTATACATTTATATTCCTGTGTTTTGTCCAAAATTTCCAAAAATATTACTCAATTATAACACTAAAATAGCATCCTAATGATCATCGAATTAAATCACGAACTTGTGTCAACATTGTGTTAACTGCACTTGAAAATGAGAGGAATGTTTTACTGTCACCAGTTGTTGTTTACAATTCTTCCGATTGCTGTTATTCAACTTAAATTTAACGTGCTTCAAGCTAATGATCATACCTTTTGCCACACATATGCTTAAATGGTACAGTAGGTATGGTTGACGCCTGTGAATCAGCGACTGCCGGTTCGAATCCCGAAATGCAAATGTAATTTTTAGACTTATATTAACAATATAAATATGTAAATCCAATTAGTCAGCAACAAGTTAAAGCAGTTCCATATTAAGGCATAAGATATGAAGCGGTCTTCCATTATTATTTTTGAAATAAAACCAGAAGGCTGAACAAGGGTTGCAACAGAGTGTTATTTAATGCCTTAAAAAGCTTATAATGTACATTACTGTTAAGCTTTTGGCTGATTAAAATCACCAGATTTAGATGTTTAAAAGCTAAACAAAGATTAACGTGGTCTATGTACAGCAATTATTCTATCCAAGGCTGAATTAAAATCGATCAAACAACACTTTTTAAGCATCAAATTATTACCTGGGAAATGCGATTTCCGGTGCGGTTGTGTTCGCCGATGTTACTACTTTCGTCGCCGCTGGCGTCTTCAGCTACCGTCACTACCAGTACCACCGGAACGACCCCGGTGGAGCAACCGTCATCAAAAGCAACCATGTCACAATGACAGCAAAATAAAGGCCAACTAAAACTAGACGATTTCAATCTGTTCTAACCGTTCTTAACGGAATCACAACACACAGCAGTAACATAGAGGTAACTCTAAGACCAGAAGGTCCCGAAGAAACGTGCTCAACTTTTTGGCTCAGCTCTAGTACTATCTTCGGTCCCAAGCTAATCGATGCACCCCTCGAAACATAGGAAAATTCACGAACCCCTCATTTCATCTGTCGAACTTTCATACCGAATCAAAACAAACGTAGTGTAGTACTAGAATTTCAACTGGAATGGGGTACGTTAATCGATTTGCTTGGGACCAATAGGCTAGTCAAGTAGTGAGCCAATTTTAAATCGGTAATTTCCACCGGTTGATAATACCGATGGCAGCAGTACACCGGGAATTACAATTTGCTGCAATCGTTATTGCAGCTTTCTACGCTGGAATGGTTATTCTGGCCGAGATTCTGGCAATGAAATGGACGGTGTATTTTTTTTTTTCCTTTGGTTTGTTTTTTTTCCGTCGATCTTGTTTTCCGTGCTGAGCACCAATGCTACCGACGTGCCAGGAAGGCAGCTCCCACACCTGGACCCTACATATCGACCCATCAACTCATGAACCGGGGACCAACGGCTTTACTTCCCATCCGAAGGAAGGCGTGATCAGAGATGTTATGCCTCAGAACATCCCGGCGGCGCCGACTGGGATTGAACCCAGGCCTACTGGGGTGAGAGTTAATCACGCTTACCACTACACCACCGGCGCCGTTAAATGGACGGTGTATAATCAGGCGAAAAATTACTGCTTGGGTTCACGACGAATCGTTCCCATCGTCCTGATCTTAGATCGATTATAGTTTGATTTTAAAATTTGAGGTTCCGAATATTCGAAAGGCAGCTGTTCTCTTAGCACAGTACCGATTGCCCTGGTATTAATGAATTTACTGCACCTGATGGTGTACTGCTTCGGACAGGTAATAGGATGTGCGCTTCTAGGAAATCCAACTTGATTTTGGGGAATCAATGGCGATGAGTTCAATCGCATCCAAAAATAATGCAATTTTAGCAACAACAATTATTTGACAAATGCACTGTGCAGGAACAGAAATAGTACAGTGTTGCCAGTTACTTCAAAGATCATAAAAATATTATCTATGGGTGCCAAACAGTGACAATGGTGTTCCCAACTGTGTTTATGACACATTGTGCCCCTTGTTTTCAATATTGGCGTCAATACATCGTCAATACAATACAATACAATACAATACAATACAATACAATACAATATTTTTGTATTCACATCATCTATATAATTATCAATAATTCCTCTTCGCGTCAATATATTGATTCGTGTGGGGTTTGCTATTGACGAAAAAAGTCTGTCATGTCTGACGTGTAGATATCAAAAATCGATCTCTGTCGTCATTGGTTTCAGAAAAACTGTCCAATACCGTACAATATGAATATTTCCCATCTTTCCTGCAAGGCCGTTATCAAGGATTTCAAGACATTCATTTCCGGTATCTAGACGTCATTCCGATTCTTAAAATACCCATTTTCCCAAGGGGTAAGTCACTCAGCACAGTATGCCGAAAGTTGATTCGGCGCAGCTTGGGCACATCCATAGGCACACCAACGGCACAATCTCGAAGGTATTGGATTGTTTATTAAATAAAATGGGAGCACTACTGGACAGCTGTCATTGAAGTTTGACTGCGTGTTTCAGAAGAATACTCTTACTGTATATAGGACTAGAGGAATTCAGACCAGCAATTCCCTTCTCGGTTCACATTTAAATTCGAAATGTAGGCTTCCGAGGGCTGTCGATTGCTATCGATGCCGGTCACAAGTCTTTCAGCTACTACGCAAATGGAGTGTACTACGAACCGGAATGCATGAACAATTTGGATGGATTGGATCATGCAGTGGTGGCGGTTGGATACGGAAAACTCAAAGGAGAAGATTACAGGCTAATCAAGAACTCCTGGTGCAACTACTGGGGAAACGATGGATATGCTTTGATGGCGGTGAAGGGTAACAACTTTTTCCTTACCACCGATTCGGCGTATGTAAATTTGAAGTAAGGTTTCTGTTTAAATTAGAATTAAGTAAACGAGTAGTTTTATGTTCGGATATATGTCATCTTATACGAGATGAAATAAATAGTTTTAAATTTTTGTAAAAATTTTAAGTTAATTAGGTTGAGTGGATGCAATAAAAATTCCGTGTGATTGTGCCGTGAAAAATAGTTCGGTATGGTTCAAGCTAGTTTTGTTTGGTAGATGACCAATTGACCGAGTGCTGTTGATTTGCTGCTCAAAAGTAGGGTCGTTACAAGGCCGAACTACTTTTCACGGCACAATCACACGGAATTGTGTCCACTCAACCTAATTAACTTACAACACACTCGAATTCTCCCGGAACTCCAACCCGATGGTAAAACCGAACGTCTTAGCTTGGATCCTTCTTCTTGGCATAATCCATTCCGACGTCGAAAACCTTCGAGAGCTTCTTGCCCGGAATCATCACCTTCAGCAGTTCCCCTTCCAGATTGAGCAGAAAGGTGTAGTGCTGCTGACGTTTCCGTCTGATTGACTGGCAACGTACGGACGACATTGGAGCAGTAGGACGCACCCAGAGCACAGATGATCGATCCGAAGTGCAGATAGTTATTGTCGCTGAATGTCCAACTAGTTGGTATCGGAGACGAACCTTTTGTCCGTCATAGCCTGCTCGACACCCTCCGACAGTTTGGCGTGTTTTACTTTCTTATCAGCATCGATAATCTCCATGATGTGATCCTTGAGGAACTTGTTGAATACGTCTCCCGTCACCAGGCAGGCCTTCTTGATGGTGATAACATCGGAGTCCTCCTTAGAGCACATGATGTACCCGATTGGGACGCTGATGTCCACCGTGTTGAAGCTCTTGTCCTTGACGAAGGCTCGCCACGATTCACATAATTCACCCGGGAGGTTCTCTTTGGAGAAGACGCCCAACGTTTTGCCATCCTTGGATCTCTTGATCGCCTCCAGCAGCTTTTCAAAATTGGCCTTGCCTTTGTCGTTCTTATCCCAAACCAGCAGCTTAACGACTGAATGCCCTCCTCACTGTCCTTCTCGATCTGCTTCAAGAAGTAGATCTTCTTGCTGGTCAGGAAAAAGATGGACTTTTCGCACAACACCGTAATCGTATCGGTCAGCTCGTATTCCAGCAGCCAGGTCTGCAGCGAGGGGGATTTGCTGTAATGGTTTCTTCGTCTACGCCGACTGCCGTCAGAATGCAATCCGCCTTCTGCAGCGAATCATCATGGGAAAACTCTGGTTCCTTCCAGTTGGCGTAGAGGCGTTTTATTCGTTGGTAGAAGGAATCCTTATCGAGCACGATAATCGACATTTTCGGGGCCGTTGTGAATGCAAACCAAACATTCAAGCTGTCAGAAATACCGGG